GAGCTTGTTTTCAGCTCTTTGAAGGTCTGAATAACAACAAGCAGCTCTGGCTTGCCCTGAGGCACAACTTTCCCTTTCCTCCAGGTGGAAATGTGTTTGCAGCACATTCTCCCATTTAGTAAGCCCACTGTAGAATGGAATCCATCCTTTTTGGTCCCTTGGACATCCCCACATTGAAGCTTGCACCACTAAAAGATAGCTGTGTTAACCCTGGGCTGTGGTCATCTACAGATTTCTAGGTCACTGCTCTCATGACTTAACATCTTTTAACTTTGGGCTCACTGTCAGTCTTTCTACAATGCTTCTGTCATCATTCAGGGAGAACTGGACTGTCCCTATGTGGATCCTCTCAACACCTTAACCTCACAACCCCGGGACACTTCTCTTCCCAGGAGCTCATCTTTCCCTGTGACAGCTGCTCAGACCCATGACTCTATTTTCACTATCATACTGTCAGGTCACTGATTCTCAACCCACTTACCCTGTCCCGATCTTCACCAGCATTTTGATTTCTCTAAGACTTAGAGGGACTCCATGCTCCCCTTTCACTCTCCTGCCTTCTCATTGCCTGACTTCATTTTCCTGGTTTCTCAGTTTAAATCCCTTTATTGAGCATCTTCCATTGCATTCCATAAACCCATCACTCCCTTTCCTGTCTCTTCCTCCATTGTCTTCCTCTGGCATACATCCTTCTCTGGCTGACCCTCATTCTGTATCACTGTAATTCACTTCCTATCCTACCCCTGGCCTTGAGGATCTAAATATATCTAGAGAAAAACAGTGAAAATAGCTTACTTTAAATTCAACACATATCAAGTGACCCCTCTCTGTACGCTGGTAACATCTGGTTCATTTTCCTAATTTATATACCTTCATGCTTACCAAGATGATGACTCACACATTCTCTTCTTTCCTTGAGTCTCCAGTGCCAGTCTTCATGCTCACCTGATTAATTTCTATTTTACCAAGAATGAAGAAGAAATATATCAAAAGACGTTAAAATTGGTCAATCAATGAAATATTCAGTAGGGATTTTTTTTTAATTACACAGAAATATAAAAAGAAAAATCAGCTTAAAGAAGCCTATAATTGCACCATCTAGATAACCCTTGATGGCATTAAAAAATTAATACACGTACATGGTTAGAAAATCCAACAGCGCAGAAAAGCTGAAAATCAAAAGTAAAAGCACTCCTCCATCTCAGCATCCCTGCACCCCAAGGGCACTTTTGCTGTGGTTTCTGTGATTTCTTCCTTGAACATTTCTACTCATCTATATTTGTGCATTACCTACTTAAGCTTTAAAAACTGCTAGGAATGTTCATAGGTCTGTGACATCTTTACTTGGTAAGTTCATAGGCTTTTAAGAGATTTAAGCCAAAGGCAATCAGTTTTTTATTTAACATCAAATCATAGTTAGCAAAAATTATGTGACCATTTTGAAATTTTGTGAAATTATTTCAATTAAATTATCATGGAACACTTATGTTGCTTGTTTTTATTTTTATTTCTTGTTTAGTCTTTATGGTTTTATTTCATTATAGTACCCCCCCAAAATAAAAAAAAGGAATCAAGTGTCCTATTTTAAGATTTTCTTAAGGGCAATTTGTGCTTATTTATTTAAATTATAAAACACATGCTTACTAAAAAAAAAAATGGAGAACATTATAGTGAAATTTGAAGAATATAAAACCACTCATAACTCTACTACACTCAGTGACATTGTTAGCATTTGTTTACTTAGTGTTTTCTATTTCTATGTGTGCATTTGTGTAGAGAAAAGCTGTTTCTCCTACCTGTATATAGATATATGTACATGACTTCTACCGAAATATGTGGTTGAGACTATGCTGTGAGTCTATCTATATATACCTCTATATATTTATTTTCCATTTAGTATTGCATCAGCAGTATTTCCTGTGTCTTTAAAAATATGCTTCCATTTGTATGAACTTATGCAGTTTGATATCATTTTAGTACAGTAATAAAATACTCCAGCACACAGTATGGTGTTTAGGGACACATGGATGTGTAGTTCAGCTATCCCAAATTGCTACAGAAATGACAAATTGCGATAGTGCTTACCATTGGAAGGATGGCAGGCAGAAAGCAGAGAAGCTTGTGCAAAGATATGGGAATTAGTTCTCTATTCAGATGATAGGTTTAAGGATTTTTTAATAGCACAAAATCTATACACGTTCTTTTGCAGTTTTTTTTTCAGTATTATGTATTTTAAGAAAAGTTATTGGATATAGTAAGCCCATTTTCCACTGAGTCTAATTGCTTAATTATTATTTAATTTGAGGATCATTTTGGTTTTATTTGATATTTGTTATCATACAGAATATTATATGTGTATGACTTTTGGAGCTGGGGCAAGAACTCCAGTGTGCTGTCTACCCATATTGCTAGCTCTGGGGCTCTGGCTAATTTAATTAGACAGTGATTACTTCATTTGGGTCTTGTTATGTGGCATCTCTCTGTCTGGAGCAGTTTGGCAGTGAACTGGGACTCTCACCTGGAGAATGCCGGCCTCTAAAAGAGTGTGGGAGCATAGGTGTGTGGAAGATAAGGGAGCTGGGCCTGGGGGGAGAGGAACCTTGCAGGGGCTGAGAAGAGCAGTGAGCTTTGAAGGCTGGCCTTAAACTCAGCTGCTATGTCTTGGTGCATATGGCCATTTTGCGCTCTTGCAAGGTGGCGGAGCGGGTGTGGTATACCGTTAGAAATGGTTCTGTATTGATTGGATTGTCCGCACTTTGGCAGGTTGAGCTTTCTCTGCTTTTATTTCTTTAGAATTTATTCCAGCATTAAATCTCATAGATAGTGAGTTATATGTTTAAAAATGACTGTAATTTATGAGATATATTTGCTATTTCACATGATCATATTTAAAACTATGGTTATAGAGTACATAATGCTTTTATGGTATTTCATAATATATAAATAGTATTTCTTACCTTCCATGAATTATTTCATTAAGAACAGTAGGTGCAATTTTAGGCAAGACATTCGTTCATAATCTCCATTTACTAATTTTTATTTTTTTTAATAGAGTCATATTAAATCAGTAGATTCTGGAGAAACTAACATAGATGGAGCCATAGGTGAGTAGACCATAGGGAATTTTATACCTTTTGTTGAGATACTTTGATAATGTGGTTTGGAATGTGTAAACAACACTTAAAATTATTAACTGTATTTTAGGACCAACGGCCTCAGAAGAATTTATCAAGATCACATTGTCGGCATTTGAAGCTATAATACAGTATCCTATTTTCTTGAAAGACTACTGCTCCACGGTCAGTTCTAGCAACTTTTCCTTTACTTGGAAAGGGCCTATTTTGTGTGTGTTTGCCTCCTGCATGTTCCTCATGTGAAGAAGCCACTCAAAAAAGCTGTCCCCCTTGCAGGATGAACATAGAAAATCCTTTCCTTCTTTGTTGACTTTGTTTGACTTTTCTTTGTTCATTAGTCTTTTTCCCTCTCTCCACATCCTATTTCTAGCTTGCTCCTTCTTGCCTGATTGTTTGTTGTAACCACTCAGATATATATTTAAATGTTCAAGCATGGATACTTTTTAGTTATTTCTGTATAGTTCATTTCTAGCTTTACTGTGCTGGAGTCAGAGAAACACTTAAATTCAGTATAGTGAAGTACATTAAGACTTGCTTTATATAGCCCATTATAAAATTTTTTGGGGGATAGATTTTTTATGTGTTTGGAAGCATATGTATTTTGCAGTTCTTAGCTATAATATTCAAGACATATCCATTAGGTCAAATTTATTAGTCAACTTCTCATATATTTTAACTATCCTTACCAACTTTGGCCTGTTTTTCCTGTCAATTATTGAAGGAGATAGATATAAATCTCTCCTTTAGGGCCATTGTGAAGTTGGTTATTCTTTTTTATTTCTGTCAGTTCTAATTTTCTGTCGTGACACCATATCACTAGGTGATGCAAATTTAAAACAGATATTGTATAAAATTCACCTTTTTTCCCTTCGTCAGGATACTTTTATTGCTAACTCCTTTTTGTCTTGA